ACAGTCGAGACTGCAAAAAAAAAAGAGCATCGGTGCAAGCCTGCTCTCCATGCAGGGACCTGTATACCTCACAGGTCAAAAGGAGGGCAGAGAAGATTTCTGCAGACCCCTCACACCCAGGACCCAATGTGTTTGTACTTCTCCCCTCTGGACGACACTACAGGTCACTGTGCACCAAGACAACCAGGCACAAAGACAGTTTCTTCCCCCGAGCTGTCATTCTGATTAACACTTAATCTACGACAGTATGACTGGACGATAACCTTCACTTCCCAAGCAGCTGGGATCTCAGCCAGGTGCCTGAGTGGCAGTTCACATTTCAAATTTTCCCCACTCAGTGACACACCCACTGAGTAACCAACTCTGGTAACTGGCAACTCCGTAGTCAGAAACGTCAGCAGAACACCTGGGTCAAGAGTAGAGGTTTTTGAGTAGAGGTTTAATTACAGCAAACTTAAAAGCCTGGGGAACATAGCCTGTTCATAGAGAGAGGTTTAACAGATCTAAAATGAACATGTTCATTAGTGGCAAACATATTTGAGCAGCCTGGTCAAGTAGGGTCTAAGAGACATTGATGATTTAGTAGAAGAAATTGATGAAGTCAGTTCAAAGAGATCTATGGTACAGAAGCAGTTTAAATGATATGGCAAAATAACATATTGTCAATATGTTAGACTGAGACACCCCAAAACTTCACAAATCATGTTTTCAGGGGAGTTCATGTCCTATTAAGGGGAGCTGAGCTCACCATAGTTTGCACCATGAGTGCAGCCCTTCCCTCCTCTAAACAGAGACTGGAAAGCCATTTGTCAGTCATATGTACTTTAATAATCCTCTATGCTCTTGACAAAACCCACTGTAGAGCTTTCTGATCAGCTGCTTTGCAGCTGAGATACCACCCAAAGATACAGTAGTGCAGTTTTTATAGGTGGATCTGGCTGAAAATATATTCTTCTCTTTATTAAACAGATCTGATGTAGCCTTGATTGATATATTTAGCAATACTAACATGAAAACAGCATAAGGCTTAGGTCTTGACCCATTAATGACTAGGATCCCTGGTGTGTGTGTTGGAGTCTGGGTCAGCTATTATGGTTGTCAGCTAGATGAAGGATTTTTCCAATACAAAATTTGTGTCACTCAAGGGAGATGTAAAAAAAAACAAAAACAAAGGTAAAGATTCAAGAATGGCCAAGCAAAAAGGAAGGTAATGTGAGGGTTCACTGGACATCTGAACTGGGGAAACAACTGACTGATCTGAAACAGGAATATAAAAGCCTCTACAAAATGGATTGCCAACTGGTGGCTGATGAGCCACATCCAGCCTGCCATAACTGTATATTTTTCTGTAATATAATATTTCTATGTGAAACTGCTGCCTTTTTTTCTGGAGTATGAACATGCACACCTTACTGCTGGTTTCCATATTTTTTTATTGCTATTTTGTTAATTTTATTTAACTGCTATCCCAGAATATTTCTTTCTGCCATCTTCAACATTTAAATAATCCATAATGAATAGATCATGCAAATTACAGACAAATTTGTAGGGTATATTCTGTTTAGGTTAGACTTCATTTACACTGGGTTATTACAAAACTACAATGTACAATTGCTGAATAACAGCAATTGCCCTTTTACAGAAAAGGTCATGTGTCTCTTCTCAGTCTGTTTACAGTACAATGGCCTCACAGGAGTTAGTCTGCAGTATCTCAAGTGTAACAATGAGTTTAACAGATTTTCTAAACCAGGGGTAGAAAAAGGCGTAGATCACAGGGTTTAGACAGGAGTTAAAATATACCAGAAAATTAATAAAAGTGTTAATCGATGAACCCATCATGATGTCATAACCAGAGAGAACAATGCAATAAGATGGACAGTAACACATGAGAAACACAGCAACAAGGACACCAAGAGTCCTGGCTGCTTTCATCTCTGATTTCTTAGCAGTTACAGTCACAGAACGCTGCAGCGTGACAGCTGCAATGTGGGAGCGCATGGCACAGGCCTGAGACACAGCCACCACAAACACTCTCATATATAGAATGATGATGACAGTAATGGGAAGGATAAAGAATAACACCACATCAACAGCACCATTTATGTTAACCACACATTCTCCATAACAGGCGTTATACCTGCCTGGGTGTATCAGGTTATCATGTAAAAGCAGAAAGCTGTAGAAAACAGAATAAATCCAACAAAGGAGAACAAAGATTTGCGCTCTCTTTTGGGTGATTTTGGTGGGGTAGCGCAGAGGGTCACAGATAGCCACATAACGGTCGACTGATATGAAAATCATGTTTACTATTGAGACACTAACAATGAAAAAAACTAAGATATAAAACAGAGCACACACCAGGTCACTCAGGAACCAGCAAGGTTCTGCTAAGAAGATTTGAAACGGCATTACAAGGAGGCCAACGAGGAAGTTAGCGACAGCTAGAGAGAGGAGGAGGAGGTTGGTGGGCGTGTGGAGCTGCCTGGGATGAGAGAATATCATCACTGTCATTATTTCAGTATTAGAAATACAAATAGTGGCTTATAAAACAGTAATGACAATTCAAATTAAAGTATAACTAAACAGTAAATGTTATACAAATATAAATAAATGCATTGCTTATGAACAAACATCATCAAACCACCAGGATGTAATGCTCAGATGTCACTGATTTGAATTAGTCTCACTTAAACAAAAATCATCAATGCTAAGACATTTATCTCTGCCTGAAGTGGGAGATGGCGATGATGACCAGCAGGTTGTGAGATACAGTCAGCAGAGAGATAGAGGATAGCCCAATGTAAATGAGCATGGTCTCAGAGTGAGGACGTGTGTGCTTTTTGCAAGACGTGTTGAGAAGTTGTGGAAAGCAAAGTTCATCTTCCTCCATCATCAGAGAGAGGAGGAGAGGGGAAGCTGCTGAACACTTGCAGCTTTCTGAGCAAAGTTCTGTTATACAGCTGTTTTTTTTTTCTATCATCATTCCCCCTCCTCTCTCCTCAATTGTCTTTTTGTCTCTCTCGGATACTAATCTTCCTCTTCCCTCACTATACATCATACTCTTCATAATGTGCATGTTAATGACTCCCTGGACTTGGTTTTGACTTGTTTTTCCAAATACATGCACCCTAGTGAGTACAGCATCACTTTTGGCCCTGACAATATATCTTAAAAAATAATATCTCCAAGAGTGTTGTAAAAAGCCATAAATAAATGATCAGTTTCACCTTAAAGTGTTTTAAGCATCCTGAGTCATTCAGTGAAAGAATAACTTGGGTGAACTAATCAGTATGTTCAGATTAAAAACAAGTTACATTACTATGTGTAATGTGAAATGAGCCACTCCCTGTTATAAACCACAGTTACAAAATTCACCTCCTCTATCTACAGTACATCATGTTACTGTACTTTGGCAGATGCACTTGTATTTAAGTAAAATCCTTTTTATTGTTTAAGCAAGAGCACAATTTCAAAGACATGTGAGACAGTGACATCACTGGCAATATCCAAAATTTTGGGTGGCATGATCTGAAGCTTTGCAAATACTTTGTTTCAAACCCAGTGCACATGTAAAAAGCCAAGATGAATGAATACCTACAGTAAAATGTAGGTACCTCTGCTTGGTGGCAACTGTGGTTCAGTGGGTGGAACAGCCGTCTCCCAACCGGAGGTTCAAATCTCGGTGCTTGCAGTCCACATGTTGAAGTGTTCTTGGGCAAGACACTGAATCCCCAAGTTGCCCCAGATCCTTAGAGCCATCGGTTGAGTTGGCTCCGCAGATGGCTGCCTTGGTTGTGTACCGGAAACAAGTTCCTTGTGTGTAACATACGTGGCCAAATAAAGGTTATTATCCTTATCCTGCCAGTATTTTACAGGTATTTTACAGTGAAAATCATTAGTGAACCTACTAAAACATATTGTGCCAAGTAACACTTGTCCTGTCTTCTGAATTTGTTTCCACTGCCCTTCAGCCACTTTGGAGGTGCATTATGGGAACAAACTTTCATCTTCAGACCTAAAATAACAGCATTACAAGAACAGTGTGTAAACGCAATCACTGGTCTAGAGGTAAAGCAAGGACTTTAGTGAGTGTACTGCAGGAAAAACTGTGAAAACATCCCATTTCTACAAGTCTGTGTTGTGTTTGATCAACAGCTGTTTGATAAACGGCTCATACATTCGCTGTTACTGGCTGATTGTTGCACTGTGGAGTGATCGTTCATATCCTCTGCTACGCTATGTGTGTATGAGAGAGAGGAGCACAGCCAGGGTGTGAACTATAACCATTTTTTTTAATCATTATTCTTAATCACAAGAATATGAATAATAAGAACAGAAAAACGGATGACAAGCAAAAGGTGGTGTGTGTATTTTAGCACTACAGAGGCATGGAGACCATTTTACTATGTGCCCCCTCCTGTGTGAATATGTACACCTTTGTAATCCTGAGCGTTATGGCTCATACATTAATTACCAGTTTTATTTTCTGTTTTGCCAGTATGAAAAGGAAAACCAAGCCTAAATGAAAAATAGGGATTCATGCTCAGACTGAGTGGGAAGGATGTTTTATTCTTTTTTGTTTTAAGGCAACTGTCGTGGCTAGAGTGTGATGCCAACTAAATTAATTCAGACAAACCATCCCAATTTAAAGGATCATTTAATATAACAATTATTCTGAATAGAGTATTATTTAAACAGATAATCTGGTAGTTAGGGAAACAGAGAACAGAGGCTCTCCTCCTGCAATGTGATAGATAAAGCGTTAAATAAGAAGATTGTCAGAGCACCAGTCAATCAAGTCATTTGTTGTCGGTCCCGAGTCAGTTCTCCTGTCAACCCACAGTCAGTCAGCGTCTCCCCGGCCAGGTCTGAGCTCACTCAAGGCTGCCGCCCCATCCTTAATAATTCTTCTCCCTCTCTAACCCAGCTTTTTCTCTGCTTGC